GGTCCCCGACCTACTGTAGCCGACCGACCACTACCGAAACGAAGTGTGGAACTGGAGAAGGCTCTAGCTCGGGCGCGGGCTGCTCTGAACTACCCCCGAGCACCCCAACCGGATGCTGCCGCATTCCGGCGCCTCGAAGTAGAGAGCCGGAAGAAGGACGAAGAAATCGCAAAACGCATTAGAGCTGCGAAGCGGAAGAAGCTCCCGGTCGAACTGCCTGCCCGTCATGCTGCACTCGTGAAGTCATACATGCACGACCGAAGTTTCTCAGTCAAGGTTGGAAGGGAAATGGTGACTGCAAAGGACATCGGGAGATTAAGTCCTGCGTCGTGGCTAAACGACGAAATCATCAACCTCTGGGGAGCAATGATCATGGAACGGGCCGAAAGGTTCAAGGCCACAAAAACTGGAGCAGCTAGTACGTGGCCATTGCATATCGAGAGCTCGTGTTTTAAGTTAATGTGGTTCCTCAGGTATCAACGGGAAAGGCAAAGAAAAGGAACTGCCTGATGACGACGATTCAGACCCCGGTCGATTCGGTCACCCTGAACCTTTGCCAAACGTGCATTATTTCAATACGTTCTTCTTCCCAAAGCTTGAGAACGAAGGCTATGAGAAGGCGAGATTGGGAAAATGGACGAAGACGGTGAACATTCTTTGAGAGTTTCTGAAGCAGCTAGCCATATACTCATTCAAAACACCTCGCATAGGTCGACATTTTCTCAAAAGATGTAATCCTCGTTCCGGTGAACCTGGGAAATGCACACTGGACTTGTGCCGCTATTAACATGAAAAAGAAGCGGGTTGAGTATTATGATAGCATGGGCTCACCACGTCCAAAAGTGTATCAGGTAAAGTCGCCAGGTTCTCCCGAAAAAAAACACGTCTGATACCTCCTTTGCTTTAGGTCTTGAGAGATTATTTGGAGAAGGAACACAAGGCAAAGAAGTCCAAGCCATTTAACTTCGACGGCTGGGAAGATTACTGGAGCGAAGTAGGTCTTGCACCTTTTCTCAGAAACCCTTCCTAACAATCGCATGCATTACATCAATAGGAAACACCTCAGCAAGAGAACGGATACGATTGTGGGGTGTTTATTTGCATGTTTATGGAAGGTTTGGGTCGCGGGGAGGAAGCGGAGGATTTTGTATTTGGGCAGTCAAACATGCCGTATCTGAGACAGCGCATGCTGTATGAAATTGGACGGGGCAAGTTGTCGTGATGGCGTAGATTATAGTTTCTTTTGCTGTGTTGCATTTCCTTCGAACCTGCTGTTTTATTCTATGCCTATCTCATCACTGTGCGTCGTATTGTATCCTTCCTTTACAGCAAAGGACTGACCTATGCCCCAGATGTGTGAATGCATAAGTTAACTCACTAAGCCAGGCCTTAGACCAGCGCCGGTTCGGGCGCACTGATTGACAAGTGGCAGGTTCACAACCGCATGGTGGCTGGGTAAAGTATTATAGAATGTTTGATAAAAAATCTCCATTCATCAGGGTGAGATGGCCGAGCGGTCTAAGGCGCCAGATTAAGGTATTCCAAGCCTGGAGCTTGATACCTTCTGGTCAGAAATGGCGTGGGTTCGAATCCCACTCTCATCATTGCTTTTGCTTTTGGTATCTTATTACCAGCCACTACC